GACAAAACCAATTTGCCTCCAATTAGTAGTTTTACTCCAAATATTAATAAGATCCCATATTGAAATGTACTGTCTTTCTAACCCTACAACACGAAGAATAACATCAACAAGTCTATGAAAAATTCAGGGTTTTGTCTGTAATAAATCAAATTGGTTGAAAAACAAATAGTGAAGCATTATTTCTTACCTTGATGGAGTACTACATGGCTGATGGACTTATGGCAGTTTGGCTGACACTGGTTGTGCTCCCTGGATGAACGCCGAGTCAGTGACGGGTTAGCCGTAGTGCTGTGCCAAGGCATGCCGCAGTTGTAGCCGTGACCGGCCGGCGGCCGCCGTTCTCCAGGCTAGGGCGAGTGCGATGGCGAGTGGGGAGGCGCAGTGTGGAAAAGATACGTGAGGCGGAACAACGGCGGCGTCGTGTACGAGATAGTGGAGAAAAGGTTGATCAGTATTCCACTTTTCCTCATTCCTCCTGGGCTGACTCTTAACTAGGCTTCTATTTGGGTTGTGGGGTGTACAACATTAGGTGGAGGAAAGAAAGATTTCTTGAGCTGCATTTCTTAACTAATTAAACGATTCTTTTGTTTCTTTTGTCACATCCAATTTTCATCCGTGACATCGATTTTTCGTCCGTAAATCCGATTGAAATTCAATCGGACAATCCGATGGGCATTGGGTAGTCTGCGAGCTTGAGATTCCCAAAAAAAAGAGGAACAAATCAATATGACACTATTTAAGAAATAAATTAGGAAATTATATTATTATTCATTAAACAAAATAAATTCAACTATAAACACAAAAAAAAGTAATATTGAGGAATCAAGGTGTGGCTACAATATTGGATGTTTTTAGTCCCTTAATCGAGCATCAAAGGATTCATAAAAAAAATCATCAAAGCAAAACTCTCATGCCTTGTAAAAAAATTCTCAGAATTTTAGTAAATAGGATACACATTCCCTTGCACTAATGTAAATTTTCTACAGGTTAAAAATAAAGCTCTTCTAGGTTGCTATAACACAGTTCAAACATGATGCGAACCCGCTAGGGTTTGTGGCCCGATCTTTCGATGAGAGGTAAGGGATAACTCGATTAGATGAAGACGACGTTCACGGCCCGACTACAACTGTCCAAAGACGCTGCGCCTTAGCAACCGATACACCGTCTCCAATGGTCGCCGCGAACTTGTGGTGCGCGTTAACCCGGCCACGAGGGCACTCGTCCTGCAAGCAATCGAAGAACAAGCAAGAACAAGTAGAACAAGCACTGAAATTGCTAGATAAAGATGAAAGTTTCACTATCAAACACGATATGGTGGGGTTCCGATTACAGGCAGACGGGCGGTTTAGCCAACACGCGCGCTGCGAGCCGGTAGCAAGAAGCTATCTCTATCATCAAAACCCGCCTATTCTTGGCGGTGACTAGAGGTATAAGAAGAGGGGAAGAATGACTATAGGGTCGTGCTCCAACCCTAGGACGCGCCCCTAATGGGCCCAACTTGGATACACAGCCCATTGGGCCAAAAGAGGTGACGCAACACCATGGACAGAAAATAGTCGGGAGTAAAATGACAATTGCGGCCGCTCCAGAACAGATATGGACATGTGGCTGGATCCATTTGAAAGTAGACTTGATAAGCTTTCCATGAAGTACTTGCACGCCCAAATCGGAGTTCGCATGAAGTCGTGGCGGCCGTCAGAAGTTGGCGCTGCCCTGCAGTCCGAATCCACTCCGCGCGAATCCTCTTCCCTTTGGATCCTCTCCATCGTTCCTGAGTAAAACACGAGTGCACGCGTCTCCGGGGTATAAAGACGAGGAATATGAACTCAAGAAAGAACTCACCTGATAATTTAGTTGACGTGCACGAGCGCGGGTAATAGGACCATCATGCTGTACATGGGGGGACGTGGATGTATCGATGGTGTTGATGTCCTCATCATCCTCCCCTTCTTGCATTTGAGTCGTCCTCGACTCAAGCTCATCTTCTTCTCCCAAATACGGCTTCAAATCTGCAACGTTAAATGTGGGACTAACCCCAAAATCTGTAGGCAAATTAATCTTATATGCATTCTCATTAATCTTTGCTAACACTTTAAATGGTCCATCAGCTCTAGGCATCAATTTAGAATTTCTCAAATCAGGAAATCGTTCTTTTCGCAAATGCAACCAAACCAAATCTCCAGGTTCAAAATTCAATTCCCTTCTACCTTTGTCACCAGCAAACTTATACTTAGCATTCATGCGCTCTATGTTTTCTTTAGTTGTCTCATGCAGTTTTAACATCAACTCAGCACGTTGCTTAGCATCAAAATTCAGTTTTTCAGAAGATGGTAAAGGCATCAAATCAATTGGAGCACGAGGCAACAAACCATACACAATCTGAAATGGGCACATTTTTGTAGTAGAATGCAAGGAACGATTATAAGCAAATTCAATATGAGGCAAGCATTCTTCCCACATCTTGATATTTTTCTTCAAAACAGCCCTAAGCATAGTAGACAAGGTTCTATTCACCACTTCAGTTTGTCCATCAGTTTGGGGATGACAAGTAGTAGAAAACAAAAGTTTAGTCCCCAATTTAGCCCACAAAGTTCTCCAAAAATGCTAAGAAATTTTGTGTCACGATCAGAAACAATTGTGTTTGGCACACCATGCAAGCGAACAATTTCTCGAAAGAACAAATCAGCGATATGAGAAGCATCATCAGTTTTATGACATGGTATGAAATGTGCCATTTTAGAAAATCTATCCACAACCACAAAAATGCTATCACGCCCCCTCTTGGTCCTAGGCAATCCTAACACAAAATCCATTGAAATATCTTCCCAAGGAACAGTAGGAACAGGAAGAGGCATATACAAACCATGTGGATGTAAGCGTGACTTAGCCTTTTGACATGTAGCGTAGCGAGCAACGAACCTGCCAACATCTCTTCGCATCTGTGGCCAAAAGAAATGACTAGCAAGGATGTCATGTGTCTTCTTGGCACCAAAATGTCCCATCAAACCGCCTCCATGCGCTTCCTGCAACAACAACAAGCGAACGGAGCTAGCTGGAATGCATAGCTTGTTAGCTCTGAAAACAAACCCATCATTGATGACGAATTTGTTCCATGTTCTTCCATCCTTACAATGCAGCAACACATCATTAAAATCAGCATCATGCGCATATTGGTCTTTAATTGTTTCCAGGCCAAAAATCTTGTAGTCAAGTTGTGTCAACAAAGTGTATCTCCTAGACAAAGCATCAGCAATGAAGTTCTCCTTCCCTTTCTTGTGTTTGATAACATAAGGAAAAGATTCAATAAATTCAACCCATTTAGCATGTCTACGGTTCAGCTTCCCTTGACTACGAATATGCTTCAAAGACTCATGATCAGAATGTATGACAAATTCCTTGGGCCACAAATAATGCTGCCATGTTTCTAAAGTTCGCACAAGAGCATAATTCTTATCATAAGTAGAATAATTCAGAACAGGCCCACTCAACTTTTCACTAAAATATGCAACAGGTTTTCCTTCTTGTAGCAAAACACCACCCAATCCAATCCCACTAGCATCACATTCAAGTTCAAAAGTCTTATTAAAATCGGGAAGTTGGAGGAGAGGTGCATGGGTCAACTTATCTTTCAACATGTGGAAGGCGTTCTCTTGTGATGTGCCCCAAGTGAAAGGCACTCCCTTCTTTGTAAGCGCATTCAATGGTGCAGCAATGGTGCTGAAATCCTGCACAAAGCGGCGATAGAACCCCGCGAGTCCTAGAAACCTCCGCACTTGTGAGACCATTTTAGGAGTCGGCCAACTCTGAATTGCCTCAACCTTGGCTTGATCAACCTCAATCCCCTGCGGAGTTACAACATAGCCAAGAAAAGAAACTCGATCTGTGCAAAAGGTGCACTTCTCAAGGTTACCGAATAAACGTGCATCACGAAGAGCATTAAAAACAGCACGTAAATGATTAAAATGTTCACCCATAGACTTGCTGTAAATCAAGATATCATCAAAGTAGACCACCACAAATTTTCCAATGAAAGGACGCAAAACCTCATTCATCAACCTCATGAAAGTGCTGGGTGCATTAGTTAAACCAAAAGGCATCACTAACCACTCATACAACCCAAACTTCGTTTTAAATGCTGTTTTCCATTCATCACCCAACTTCATACGAATCTGGTGGTAACCACTACGCAAATCAACTTTGGAGAACACAATAGAGCCACTCAATTCATCAAGCATATCATCTAACCTAGGAATAGGATGACGATATCGAATGGTAATGTTATTAATAGCTCTACAATCAACACACATACGCCATGAACCATCTTTCTTTGGTACCAAAATTACCGGAACCGCACATGGACTAAGAGACTCGCGTACATACCCTTTATCAAGCAACTCATGAACTTGACGCTGAATCTCCTTGGTTTCCTCAGGGTTGGTTCGGTATGGCGCACGGTTCGGTAGGGAAGCACCTGGGATCAAGTCGATTTGATGCTCAATGCCGCGCACCGGTGGCAGCCCCGGTGGCACTTCCTTGGGAAACACATCAGAGTACTCCTGCAAAATGTTAGCAACAGCAGGAGGCAAAGAATGCTGCATATCGTGAAGTGAAATCAAAGCATCTTTGCATACCAAAGCATAGGCAACTGAAGGTGATGCAATCAACTCATTAATATCAGATTTAGTAGCAAGTAAGCATTTGGGTTTCAAATTGATTGTCTCAGGTTTCTTGCCATCAGATTGGGCTTTTTTATCACTCTCACATTTGGATTTGGCAGCCTTAGCAACATCATCACGCAAAATATCTTCAGGAGACATGGGATGCAACACAATTTTCTTATCATGGTACAGAAAAGAGTACTGGTTTGACCTACCATGATGCATAGAGTCCCTATCAAATTTCCATGGTCTACCTAGCAGAATATTACATGCTTGCATGGGCACAACATCACATTTAACAACATCATGGTAATTTCCAATTACAAAATTAATGTGCACCAGTTTTGTTACCTTCGCCTTACCACTGTTGTTCAGCCATTAGATGTAGTATGGATGTGGGTGCGGTTTGGTGCTAAGTGCAAGCTTCTCCACCATCTCGCTGCTAGCCAAGTTGTTGCAGCTACCTCCATCAATGATCATGCGGCAACAACGCTCTTTGACGACACACTTTGTTTGGAACGTGTGTCGCTGATTTTGCTCCGCCTTCTCCATTTGTGCGCTAAGGACACGCTGCACAATGAGGCTCTCATAGTGATCCGCAAATGCAGCCCCAATGTGCTCTTCCGGTGGCTCATTATCTGCATGGTCAGCCGCAAGCAAAGCAAGTGTATCATCATCGAAATCACTAGCAGAGGAGTACTCACCATCGTTTTTTACTACCAAAACTCGCTTGCTAGGGCAGTCACGCTGCACATGCCCAAAGCCCTTGCAACGGTGGCACTGAACATCTCTCATTCGGCCTGTGGATGCCATTGAAGAAGCACTCGGTGCTGGCTGAGCAGCCTTTGTCGCTGACTTGTCACTAGATGGAGGAGGTGCTGCTCGACTGGTTGTGGGTGTGGAAGATGGAGAAGCAGTACGGCCGGCCGGAGGAGTGGTGCGTGTCTGCCATGATGAAGTTTTACCTGCAGAAAAATTAGCCTTGGCACTAGCACGTCGTCTCTGCACTTCCCTTTCAGCCTTACAAGCAAGATGAAACAATCGGGTCATATTAGTGTAATCTTTATAGTCTACGATGTCATAAATCTCGCGGTTTAACCCACCCAAAAATCTAGCCATGGCAGCGTCCTCAGTTTCCTCTAAATTACAACGAAGCAAGCCCATTTGTAACTCCTGATAATATTCCTCTACATTTTTCGTACCCTGTCTCAATTGTTGCAACCTATTCAGCAAGTCACGTGCATAGTAAGAAGGAACAAATCTAGCCCGCATGACCCGTTTCAAAGCATCCCAAGTTTGTGGCATGTTATTAGGATTTTTCTTGCCATGTTCTATCCACCAAACCGAAGCAAAATCGGTGAACTCACTCGTAGCAGCTCTAACTCTAGTGTTCTCAGGAAACTCATGGCATGCAAATTTTTGGTCAACAGCAATCTCCCAAGAGAGGTACGCATCAGTATCATATTTTCCATCAAAAGGAGGAATCTTAAATTTAATTTTAGAAAAAGCATCATCATTGTTGCGTACCTCGCGTCGGCGGCGACCACCCATACCTCATCGATTGTTGTGTAGCCGTCGACGATCTCGAGCATCTCGATCATCTTGTTCAGTGTCAGCAATATATTCATCCTCCAAATTATCCTCGACGTACTCTCCGTCAATGTCATCGTCATTACCCCCACCATTGCCTCCAGCATTGAGAGCATCAAAATGCCTCACAAGAGCAGCAAGGCTAGTGTCAATGCGGGCGACCGCTGTCTCCAGCCCTATAAGCTTAGTGTTGGTGGAGATCTGCGTGGACTCCAATTGTCCAATCTTCTCATTTGTCACCTGCAAATCTGTATCAAGTCCTTCTGTGTGCTGCTTCACTTGCCTTGTAAAGTATTGGATGATGCCTTTGGTGCGTGGGGAATGAGATGCACCCTCCTCATCTTTATCCTCTGGACCTGCCATGGTTTAGAAATGAAGGACAACAAAACAACGGACGATGTAATGTAAGCCCTACACAACTATTGGGATGTAGCTTTTGCAAGACGCTCACTCTCACTTCACTCGCAGCTTGTCTCACAAGCTCTTACCAGTTCTTACCTTGCCCACAGGAGGGGGACAGCAACCCACAAGTTAGCAACCGTGGAACGAGGTGTATCGGTGCTGAAGCAACAAGACCTGTCAAGCTGTAGTCGGGTTTGTGGTGGAGCTGTTGGTGGGCTGAAAGCAATGCTCAAGAGAAAACTAGAAACCACGTTAGCCAAAGCAAATTGAATAATCGCTCAAGGGTATAGTGTACAGTGCTGGTCCTAGGCTAGTCAAAGTAGAGACGCGAGCCTAACCACAAAGGACGCCACAAAACACAAACCCAAACAGCAACGAAAACAAGAACCGGTGGTGGAAGGTGGTGACAAAGGGGGAATGGTGGGGTGTGCTCGCTGGATCCTCTTTTTTTTTTCTTGCTCTCTAGTGCTGAGGAGAGAGACACTACTTTTTTTTTATTTTTTTGATATTTTTTTCACAACCAGAAGCACACTAGAACCAACCACAGAAAATCTTATCTCAAACGGACAAAGTATGAAGCTTGTAGAATTTTTTCAAAGTTCTATGCGAATAGGTCCCGAAGCTTCTCGCTACAAAAACAGAATTTTGCAAGAGGAATTTGGCGATTTTAAATTTGCCGAACCCGGCAAAGCAGGGGAGAATCGGATGTAACTTTTTTTGTAGATGTCCGTGGATATATTATAAGCCTAATTTCGAGTCCGTATGAAAAAGATATGACTGTTTTAAGGAAGGTCACTCGAATCAGGGTTCTATTTCCTTTCTAGTGGCGGCAGGATACAAGGCAACTCACAAAAGCTATCGGCAACAGATCAAACACAAATAGAAAGTGATTTGGTGGGTGACTGCGACGGTGGTGACGGTGGTGGCAAGAACTCGAAACTCTAATCGCCTAACACTAAGACCAGCAAATTAACACAACCGATGCAATCGAAAACTCAACAAGCCTTAACTAAGCAGTACTAGTAAAAAAGCACAATGGTCTATAGGATCACGGGAAAACTAATCTACTATTTTTTTTTGTTGGTCTTTTCTGGACTATAGGAAAAAAAAATTAATGACGAAGGGAAGGGTAAATTCTCTCACCGATGAACCACGCTCTGATACCACCTGATGCGAACCCGCTAGGGTTTGTGGCCCGATCTTTTGATGAGAGGTAAGGGATAACTCGATTAGATGAAGACGACGTTCACGGCCCGACTACAACTGTCCAAAGACGCTGCGCCTTAGCAACCGATACACCGTCTCCAATGGTCGCCGCGAACTTGTGGTGCGCGTCAACCCGGCCACGAGGGCACTCGTCCTGCAAGCAATCGAAGAACAAGCAAGAACATGTAGGACAAGCACTGAAATTGCTAGATAAAGATGAAAGTTTCACTATCAAACACGATATGGTGGGGTTCCGATTACAGGCAGACGGGCGGTTTAGCCAACACGCGCGCTGCGAGCCGGTAGCAAGAAGAGGGGAAGAAGAGGGGAAGAACCCGCATGTTCTTGGCGGCGACTAGAGGTATAAGAAGAGGGGAAGAACGACCATAGGGTTGTGCTCCAACCCTAGGACGCGCCCCTAATGGGCCCAACTTGGATACACAGTCCATTGGGCCAAAAGAGGTGACGCAACACCATGGACAGAAAATAGTCGGGAGTAAAATGACAATTGCGGCCGCTCCAGAACAGATATGGACATGTGACTGGATCCATTTGAAAGTAGACTTGATAAGCTTTCCATGAAGTACTTGCACGCCCAAATCGGAGTTCGCATGAAGTCGTGGCGGCCGTCAGAAGTTGGCGCTGCCCTGCAGTCCGAATCCACCCCGCGCGAATCCTCTTCCCATTGGATCCTCTCCATCGTTCCTGAGTAAAACACGAGTGCACGCGTCTCCGGGGTATAAAGACGAGGAATATGAACTCAAGAAAGAACTCACCTGATAATTTAGTTGACGTGCACGAGCGCGGGTAATAGGACCATCATGCTGTACATGGGGAGACGTGGATGTATCGATGGTGTTGATGTCCTCATCAAAACATTTGCTAACAAGTGCACCAATGGATAAAATGGCAATGCAGATACAAAGAATGGTAATTGTCTAACTGATTTGACATGTTTTAAATAGCATGAAGTCCAAACGACAATTAGAACAGTAAACTAAAAAGAGGTCGCAGTATACATAGTAGCTACCTTTAATGGAACAAAGGTCTGCAGTGCAAACTGATCAGCACCAACCCATATAAGCTGTGTGCCCAAGGGCCACATGATAGACCCACTGTTATGCATGCACCAAATCTTAGTAAACGAAGTCAAAGGTGTCATCAATATTCCATCCAGGACATCTTGCTTGCTAGCTCTATCAGAATAAGAAACCAAGTACAAACATACCTTTTGCTTGCTCTAAATCTTTTTTTTTAACTGGAAATACTACCAGGGCTTTGCCCAGTAGTGTATTTTCATTTATTTAATTTATACAAATTTGCTCTAACTCTTCAAATTTATAGCAGCGTAAACTAATTTGTAAGACATGTGCACCCTAAAAACTTTATAAATTCAGAGTCAAACGATTGCAGCAAGCCTCATTTGCCCTGTTAACCCTCAAATACTAATTACCATGTGGCCATTAAAAGATTCCAGCAGAACATCTTCTTGGACAAATATTCGTGTGCATTAGGAAAGAAAACAGATTTCACACCATATTTTAAATAAATATTTACCCATAGAAAATTTAGCTACTTCTTTTCATAAGGCTGCTCCAGGATGGATTGTGATCCAGTAACCTCGAACAACTTTTCATGAAAATCAGAAATAAACATGACTCCATTCATCAAAGAGAAGGAGCATAAAAAAAGTTTACATGTAAATGGAATGCAAAAATAAATGTAAACCTGACTCCATTTATGCAAACAAAAAATTGATCTAAGACCCACTTAACCAAAGAAAATAATGTATTGAATTCAAATTAGCTCCTGCAATTTAGTTATGAACTTATCATGACAAATGAGTTAACAATGTAGCAAAATGGACTAATATCTAGGTATTATTGAACTGTTGATACTACTAAGCCATGGAAGAATTAAATCGTGATGATAGACAAGTGTTCAACTGAAAGGTTAGAAGATCGGAGTCAAAATTTAGAACTTACAGGCTACAGCTACTGAAAGTCTGAAACATAATATGTTTAGTTAGTTAGGGCACAAAACAAGTTAGGGTTGGCCTTAAACAAAATGGTCGTTGGTAAGCTTAGTTAGTTGGTCGTTCAGTACCACAATATGTCGTCAGACAAAACACAGAACCACAGTATTTCAGTAACATACTCAAGATTTGACAACATCACACACTTGATTAAAACAAGGTTGTATATATACATCATTGGCTGTGGTGTTCAGACAACTATTTTGCTCTTGTGCCGGGTCTCCTATAAACACACAATTCTGCGACTTAAGAGTGAACATCAGTCACTGGATCATAGTCAGCTGCACCCCAAGAAATATGGTTATATACATGAGATATTCAGATCAGATTCAGCACATCTCGTTTCCTACTAATTAAGTAATTATTGGCTTCAGTTATTGTCCCTACAATGTGGTGACCAGGCAAGTTTGCATTACTGAAATAGTAGAATCTAAACATGACCTAAAACCTCACCACTCACCAGATTTTTACTGCTAACCAAAGAAAACCTCACCTCACAAGACAACGATGAAACGCATGCGCTGTCCTTCTGATGCTCACCAACCGCCGGCGTCCAATGCGGCTGGAGCCATTGAGGGAGAAAGGAGCGGCGCGTGGCGAGACCGAGAGAGAGAAGGGGAGAGCTGGGAAGACGGATGCGGTTACATCAGAGAAGTGCGGGGAGTGGAGGATGGAGTGCCGGAGGTATGCGGCGGAGCGGGCTGCGCGTGGAGAGGGGAGCGGCGGCGCAGGCGTGCGGGGAGGGCAGCGACGAAGGGAAGCGGCTCCGGCGGGCGCGCGCGAGCGAGGAGGCGGCGGGGTAGGGCGAGCGGCTCCGGCGGGCTCGCGCGAGGAGGCGGCGGCGGGCGCACGGCTTCGGCGGGAGCGCGCGAGGAGGCGGCGAGCAGCTCCGGTGGGAGCGGCGGCGGCGGGCTGGCGCACTAACAGGAGCGAAGATTTTTTTTCCTTTTTCATTATCGCTTCGATGGATCGCTGTAACCGCTGCTTGATATGAGATCGCTAATAACCGCTACTATTAGGGCACCCGCAATGGTTATTTATAGGCTCTCTACAAAAGATCCATATCAGCATATTTTTCTATTTGGAAGAGATTAAATGAAGAGAGAGAGTAAAGCTATCTACTAACCTGGAGATAGTCTATTAGGAAAAAACGAGGCAATGGATGAGAGAGCTATAGATACTCATGTAACTATTGAGATGGTTTACTATTAATCTAGTCTATTGTTGAGATGTACATGTTTTATAAAGAGCACCAGCACCTTACCTTCGGCTAAGGGCATAGGAGACCTGGTGGTCCATGGAGGCCCTTCGCCACCTAATGGGTCGGCCCAGGAAGACCACCTCAGGGCCCATAAATATAAAAGACATTGTATACCCACTGTAGTATCCCTATCGTGAAGTTAACCATGTAAATTTCCTTGTAATAACCAAACCCTAGAGGGTATGAGCCTGTACTAGCATTATAAATAGCCCCCTAGAGCCATGTAATGGGGGATCCCAAAAATTTCAACCAATTAATATATTGTTTTACAATTACAATCACTCAATGAGTCACCACGTCCTTCAACGTGACGCAGTTGTCATTCAATAACATAGACAAAATAATGGGATATGAAAAATACTCTCTCCATCCTAATTTGATCAATCATATTTACAAACGGCATTAAGACCAAGACAAGAATATATCATTCATCCTGAAATTAAATCTCGTCGATCAAGGTGCTGGGTTAGACATTCACGTGGGCATGCAAGACCTACAACGATGCTATTTATTTCTGCACAGATAAACGAATAGACATATAATAATTGTATTTAGAAGTACTACACCGTCCATCACATTTTGATCATCGCCTAGGGTTTTTAAGGTTCTTTTCAAAATGATCATCATCTAACTGTTAAGATTATAGACATATAATGATTTAATCTATTCCATAAATAAATCATGACATTACAGATGAAAACTAGCATGAACGCATCATTAGATCTACACATGTAAACTACACAGTATAACATGAACAGATCAAATATGCGCAATATATTGAACACGTACCGAGGTGACGGAAAGACCGGCTGCTTGGTCGAAACTTTTCGCAAGTGTCTACGAAGGCACGAAACACGCGAGCGAAGAGGAAGGCGAGCCATCGCGAACGAACAGGGAGCAGTCGCGCGAAGCGCTTCCCAAAAACCTTATTGCCGCCTTCTCCCGGTGCAGAACGTCGAAGGCAGAGGTTCCGGAGACCTGCTCTCCCGATCGCCGGTGCACGCCGGCGAGTGGGATGGAGTAGTCTACGAGCGACGGCGCAGTACAGAGTAGGAGGCAAACCCTAGATTGATTTTGCGTATACTGCGTGAAGACGGCAGGTCGGTTTATATAGAGAAGGGTCGCTTGATCAGGGCGCCCGCACGATCTCTACTGCGCGTAACCGAACCGGATAAGTCGCGCGTAACTTATCCGGACTCCACGCCGTTTGCACGCACCGGATTTTTCGGAACATTTCCAAAACAAAAACGAATCCGAATTTGCAGCAAAACAAAACTGCAAAAGGAGGCTGCATCTGCGCAAGGGTGAGGAGCCAATTTTTCGGACCATTCGACGCGTACGTCGTGCATGCGCGCCGCCTGCCCTGCCCTGCCAGGCCAGGCCAGGCGAGCGAGCGCGCGCGTGTGTTTCCCCTCTTCTCTCCACCACACATGCTTCAAGTGACTAGGAGGGCATCCTCCCTTTAAGGAGGTCCCCCTCTCCTAGAATAAGCAAGGTGGTACTAAACTCCACATGCATGCCATCCCATGAGGTGGGCTTTTGTGATTTTCCAAAGAATTAATCTTCGAGTGGGCTAAGGCCCATTCATTAATTCCAACAATCCCCCACCAAATCTCAAAATCCCACTGAGATTTGCCTTTTCCAATGTACTGTTTATATACCAGCGGTTCGATGGAGACCAATTAAGGTTGAACATCCACCTAGAACTCCAAGCTACACTTACTCACAACTTGAACAATGGACTACGCCTTGAATTGCAAGTCTTGTGCAAGCAAGTTTCACTCAAAGTCTTATCTGGTACTAGACCGTCTGTAGACTACCCCTCGGGTGGAGCGTATAAGTCATACTCCTAGGTCTTTAGTAAGCTTCCTAGAAGATTCACCCAAAATCTTCATAGACTGCGACCAACAGTCAAGCTCACAAAGGTGAGTTCTTTCAAGAATGCTCTGCAGGACAACATCTTTGCTAATTAAAGCCAACAGAACTCATTAAGGCATAGCCAACCTGCCTTGCAGCTCACGAGAGTATATGCATCTTCACTTGGAGAGGGTATATATATTGGTACTCTCCTCTAGTTTATTAATGGTTTGTTCTTCCCAGGATCTAATTCACGGGATCTCCGATCACATAGACTGGGTTACCACCATAGTATAACTCACATGGGTCTCAAACCCATCTCCTTCGATGCATTGTCTATCACATTTCGTGATAGTCCCTTCGTGAAGGGATCTGCTAGGTTTCTCGCTGTTTGGATGTAATCCAACGTTATAACTCCGGAGTTTCTTAATTTCCTGACAGACTTCAATCGTCTTTTCACATGTCTAGACGATTTCATATTGTCCTTAGAACTATTCACTTTGACAATTACCGTTTGATTGTCACAGTTCATAAGGATAGCCGGCACCGGTTTTTCAACAACAGGCAGATCCATTAATAGATCACGCAGCCATTCTGCCTCAACAGTAGCAGTATCCAGTGCCGTTAGCTCTGCTTCCATGGTTGACCTCGTCAAAATGGTCTGTTTGCAAGACCTCCATGAAACAGCACCACCACCCAGTGTGAAAACATATCCACTAGTGGCTTTGATCTCATCCACATCAGAGATCCAGTTAGAATCACTATAACCCTCCAGTACCGCAGGATACCCAGTATAGTGAAGCCCCAATTCCACAGTACCTTTCAGATAGCGCATTACTCGCTCAAGCGCACGCCAGTGATCATCTCCCGGATTAGAGGTAAATCGGCTCAACTTGCTCACAGCAAAGGAGATATCAGGCCTAGTTGCACTAGCCAGGTACATCAACGAGCCAATGATTTGGGAGTATTCCAGTTGATTCCTAGCAATTCTCTTGTTATTGCGAAGCAACAAGCTAGGATCATAAGGTGTTGGAGAAGGCTTGCTATCAATGTAGCCAAAGCGATTCAAGATCTTCTCCACATAATGGGACTGCAAGAGTGTAATCCCATTCTCACCTCTAATTAGCTTAATGTTTAAGATAACATCAGCTACTCCCAAATCTTTCATATCAAAATTTTGAGACAAGAATGATTTAACCTCATTTATCACCTCAAGGTTTGTCCCAAATATCAGTATGTCGTCAACATACAAGCACAAAATAACTCCCTCACCCCCACCATGGCGATAGTACACACATTTATCTGCCTCATTGACTGCAAAGCCTGCAGATGTCAATGTTTTGTCAAATTTCTCATGCCATTGCTTAGGAGCTTGTTTCAGACCATACAAAGACTTCAACAATTTGCACACTTTGCCTTCTTGACCTTCAACTACAAACCCATCAGGTTGATCCATATAGATCTCCTCATCCAGCTCTCCATTAAGAAAAGCTGTCTTAACGTCCATTTGATGAACGAGAAGACCATGTGAGGCTGCTAGGGAAAGTAGCACACGAATTGTGGTCAATCTAGCAACAGGTGAGTAAGTGTCAAAGAAATCTTCGCCTTCTTTCTGAGTATAGCCCTTAGCAACAAGCCGAGCCTTGTACTTTTCAATAGTACCGTCAGGCCTAAGCTTCTTCTTGAACACTCACTTGCACCCCACAGGTTTACACCCATAGGGTCGCTCTGTCACCTCCCAAGTCCCGTTAGCGATAATGGAATCCATTTCACTACGGACAGCCTCCTTCCAGTAGTCTACATCAGGAGATGCATATGCTTCTGAAATTGACTTAGGAGTGTCATCCACGAGGTACACAGTGAAATCATCACCAAAAGACTTAGCCGTCCTTTGTCTCTTACTCCTTCGAGGAGCTTCACTGACATCCTCCTCAGAGACAAGTTCATGTGTATGTTCAGTTTGTTCTGGTGGTGTGATTGAACTGGGAATTATTTCAGATGGTTGGTTCGAACCACTATGTGTATCCTTCATTGGGAAAAAGCTCTCAAAGAAGATAGCATCACGAGACTCCATAATTGTACCAACATGCATGTCCGGTACCTCGGATTTAACTATTAAAAATCTATAGGCAATGCTATGATGAGCATATCCCAGAAAAACACAGTCCACAGTCTTAGGTCCAAGTTTGCGCTTCTTCGTTATTGGTACATTGACTTTCGCCAAGCACCCCCATGTGCGCAAATAAGAAAGTGATGGTTTTCTACCAATCCATATCTCATATGGTGTTTTGTCCTTATTTCTGTTAGGAACTCTGTTTAACACATGATTTGAGGTCAACAATGCCTCCCCCCACCATGCCTTAGGCAGTCCCGCGGTATCCAACATGGCATTCACCAAGTCAGTCAGTGTGCGGTTCTTCCTTTCAGCAATCCCATTAGACTGGGGAGAATAGGGAGGCGTCCTCTCATGTATGATGCCATGTTCCTCACAGAATAAGTCAAACTCGTTCGAGAAAAAACTCTCCACCACGATCAGACCTAAGCCTTTTTATCTTTCTGTCAAGTTGATTTTCAACTTCTGCCTTATAAATTTTAAAATAGTCTAGAGCCTCGTCTTTCGTTTTCAACAAGTACACATAGCAAAATCTAGTAGCATCATCAATCAATGTCATGAAATATCGTTTTCCACCCTTCGTCAACACCCCATTCATTTCACAAAGATCTGAATGTAGGAGTTCTAGTGGTGCCAAGTTTCTCTCCTCGGCAGCCTTGTGAGGCTTGCGAGGTTGCTTCGATTGCACACAACTATGGCACTTAGAACCTTTGACAATGGAAAACTTAGGAATTAAACACATGCTGGAAAGCCGAGACATCAAGCCAAAATTAATATGACATAAACGTGAATGCCAAACATTAGCCTCATCATCCACACTGCCACAAATATGGTTCACAAACTTATTGCAGAAATCAGAAAGGGAAAAGCGGAACAGGCCTCCGCACTCATAACCTTTACCAATAAAATATCCATGTTTAGACACGACTACTTTATTAGACTCAAAAACCAACTTAAATCCGTCTCTAGTCAGACGGGAGCCACTAACAAGATTCCTGTCGATAGAAGGGACATGCTGCACGTTCTTCAGCTGCACGATCTTTCCCGAAGTAAACTTCAGATCTACCGTGCCAACACCATGAACAGAAGCATGTGACCCATTCCCCATTAGGACGGTGGAACCCCGTGCGACCTGATAAGAAGAAAACAATGAGATGTCAGCACAAACATGTACATTGGCCCCAGTATCAACCCACCAATTAGTAGATTGATTAACTGAAAAAACAGTAGGTAAATTACCATACCCGCTTCCATCTCCAGTGTTGCCAATGGTCACATTAGCAGACTTAGAAGTCTGCCCTGCAGGTGCCTTCATCCCCTTGCGCTGTGGACACTTCCTAGCCAGATGACCAACTTGGCCACACACAAAGCAAGTCCTCTCATCCTGATTAGGATTGTTGTTGTTCTTCTTCTGCTTCTTGAAGTTGGTGGTCTGCTGAGCTTTGTATTTCCCCTTGCTCTTGTTCTGGGCCTTGTGCACAACATTGGCACTGGACTGCCCACCATCGCCCTTAGACGCGGCATCTTTTTCCCGAGCTTTCTCCTCAACATCAAGAGACGCAATCAACCCCTCAACGGAGTATTCCTGTCTCTTGTGTTTGAGTGCAGTACCGAAACTCCTCCAAGATGGAGGTAGTTTTGCAATAATGCACCCGGCCACAAATTTGTCGGGTAAGACACACTTAAGGAGTTCGAGTTCCTTAGCCATGGTTTGTATCTCATGAGCCTGTTCGACTACAGAACGGTTGTCAGCCATTTTGTAGTCATGAAACTGCTCCATGATATACAGATCATTGCTAGCATAAGTAGCACCGAATTTAGTATTCAGTGCATCCCACAACTCCTTAGCGTCGGTCATATGCATATACACCTCGACCAGACGATCGCCAAGAACGCTCAGAATGCATCCCATAAAGAGAGTAGTGGCTTCCTCGAATTGCTTCTGCTGTTCAGCAGTAAGAACTCCTTCAGGTTTGCCAGTACTCACCCAGAAGCATTTCATAGCTGTCAGCCACAGAGTGACCCTGATCTGCCATCTCTTAAAATGCACACCGGTGAATTTATCCGGCCTCAGTGCATCGGTAAAACCAGCCATAGTAAAATCACAGTGCCTATAATAAGGTTTTTGGATTGTTGAGATTATAGACATATAATGATTTAATCTATTCCATAAATAAATCATGACATTACAGATGAAAACTAGCATGAACGCATCATTAGATCTACACATGTAAACTACACAGTATAACATGAACAGATCAAATATGCGCAACATATTGAACACGTACCGAGGTGACGGAAAGACCGGCTGCTTGGTCGAAACTTTTCGCAAGTGTCTACGAAGGCACGAAACACGCGAGCGAAGAGGAAGGCGAGCCGTCGCGAACGAACAGGGAGCAGTCGCGCGAAGCGCTTCCCAAAAACCTGATTGCCGCCTTCTCCCGGTGCAGAACGTCGAAGGCAGAGGTTCCGGAGACCTGCTCTCCCGATCGCCGGTGCACGCCGGCGAGCGGGATGGAGTAGTCTACGAGCGACGGCGCAGTACAGAGTAGGAGGCAAACCCTAGATTGATTTTGCGTATACTGCGTGAAGACGGCAGGTCGGTTTATATAGAGAAGGGTCGCTTGATCAGGGCGCCCGCACGATCTCTACTGCGCGTAACCGAACCGGATAAGTCGCGCGTAACTTATCCGGACTCCACGCCGTTTGCACGCACCGGATTTTTCGGAACGTTTCCAAAACAAAAACGAATCCGAATTTACAGCAAAACAAAACTGCAAAAGGAGGCTGCATCTGCGCAAGGGTGAGGAGCCAATTTTTCGGACCATTCGACGCGTACGTCGTGCACGCGCGCCGCCTGCCCTGACAGGCGAGGCGAGCGAGCGCTCGCGTGTGTTTCCCCTCTTCTCTCCACCACACATGCTTCAAGTGATTAGGAGGGCATCCTCCCTTTTAAGGAGGTCCCCCTCTCCTAGAATAAGCAAGGTGGTACTAAACTCCACATGCATGCCATCCCATGAGGTGGGCTTTTGTGATTTTCCAAAGAATTAATCTTCGAGTGGGCTAAGGCCCATTCATTAATTCCAACACTAACAAGTGTCTCTTTGTTTATTTGTATAAAGAGTAAATGTGTATCATTGATTGTATTGTATGCAACTAACCAATATTAATTTTTTATTGGTGCAATGGTACGCAATATTTAAAACACGAGCAATCTACGGGACACGAAGCGATGAAGCACCTTAATCGATAAGGATTAATTTGAGAATGATAAATATTTTGGTGTCCTTAGTCATGGTGTCATTTGCTTATGGGATGATCAAATTAGAATAGTAGAAGTACTGCACAAATAAACGAACATACATATGCAACGATATGCCATTTACTTATGCCCGAATACTCGAATAGACACTAGTTTAGATGATGATCAATTTGAAAAGAGTGAAGTGCACGGGCAGTACTTAAACTTGTACAGATGTGTCATATAGATTCTTGAACTCTCAAAATACATTTTTGGGTTTCTAAACTTGTCATGTGTGTCATATAGGTCCAAACGGGCTCCAACCCGCTCTATGAGATGACGTGGCATGCCACGGTGATTCTTACGTGTCAGTGGGATCTACATGTCAATCATGTAGAAAAAAATAAAATTTAAAAAGAGAGGAGAAAATGATGTTTTTAATTTTAAAAAAATTAAATGAAAAAAGAGAGGAGAAAAAAATACGTCCTTAATTTTTTCTATATGTGGCTGACATATGGGTTCTACTGACATGTAGGCGCCACCATGGCATGCCACGTTAGCACACAGAGCGGGTTGGAACCCGTTTGGACAAGTTGAGGGATCCAAAAATTCATTTTGAAAATTCGGGGACCTAGTTGACACATCCACACAAGTTTAGGGACCGCCCATGCAAAATAACCTTAAAAAGTGTAGGGGATGATTAAATTGGGATGAAGGGAATAACAAGGTTAGCCTCATAAGTTAGTTTATCCCAAACGTGTCCTAAAGCTGTTATTAACTGAGATTAAGAGCTTGAACCCCTTTGCCTTTGGTTCATGACCATTGGCATCCCCCATACAAATAACTAAAGGGTTAGAAGGTCACATCTCCTCTAAAAATGTATTAGAGCAGGTACAATAGCAAATTATAACCTAGCTATAAATACATATCGAAAAAATAAAAAGCTAGCAATAAATACATATCGAAAAAATAAAAAAGAAGAGAGAAGAACAACAGACTATTGATTCGTAGCTAGCTGCAGAAGCACAAACTACAAGACACAAATATGTGTATAATAGGTGTGACCAGATTCTAATAGTGTAGTACTCTCTATGTCCCATAATATAAGAGATTTTGGAGTGATGTGACACTTCATAGGAGGTCCAGATTCGTAGTCCTATAAAGTGCTACATCCCTCCAAAATCCCTTATATTATTGGACGGAGGAAGTATATGTTTATAGGTAACTATTGTATGAGTTGCTCTTAAATTAGATGATTTGGAGTTAATAGTTGGCTGTACTATTAAACTTGCTCTTAGAACGTGAGAATAACAAATATTTTGATAAAAAGAAAATGAAAGGTAGAACAAATAATCTTTGGTGAAACGGACGGAGTACTATTTAAGACGAGACAAGTAACAGACACTTGATTAGCTCAATCACACAGATACTTGACTACACCGGGGATGTGGACCTTGTAGAAATACTCATCCCAATCAATCGACTTGGGGTCAAAATCAAAACAATATCCTCCATCGTTTTTGTCCTCCTGCTTCCTCATCGTAATCCTTAGCTTCTCCGTGTTGATGTCGTCGAAGCTACATATTGCCATAATATATTATGAGGGAGCAAATTATTGGCCGTTAACTAGTACTCCGGTCTTAAATATATCACGCCATTAACTTTTAAATTTATTTGAGTGTTCAACTTTCTAGAAATATTTGTACAAATAATCAAACATACTAGTCACACCCAAGGTCCTTCTGAAGACAGCCAGTATACACTTTTCACTTATTACTTATAACTAACTAATAGAATAAATATAGTTGAACAGAGTTTGATGAAAAGGTTCAATGTTACCATATACTGCCTCCATTTTTACAGAGTTTGAACAGAGTTTGGACACACGTTTGATCGTTCATCTTATTTAAAAATTTTACGCAAGTATGCAAGATATAAATCATGTTTAATGTACTAATTTAATGATAAAACAACTCATAATAAAATAAATAATAATCACACAAATTTTTTAATTTTTTTCACGAGCTCGCAAAAAGATTACACGTCGATATATTAGAAACACAATTTTTTTAATAAAACAAATGATCAAATATATTTTAGAAATTAATGATGTCAGCTATTAAAAAATAGAGGGAGTAGCAATTTGACATACATGCTAGCTTGCTTAGGAAGAGCGAGTGTGTGCTTGGGTGCTTACCAGCCTTTGAACAAGGTGTAGGGCGCGTAGAGCTCGACGAGATGCATGACGAACTTGTACTTCCTGCTCAGCTCGTCGTAGCGCCGGGAGAACATGCCACAGAGCGCAATGTTCACCAGCCGAAGGATCTGCACACCATCACGTTTCACAAATGAATCGGTGTATGCCACTTGCTTAATTTGGTAATCCTCTGTAATAAAATTTCAGGAAAAAAATGGCTAAAAATTAAGCAGGGGCAAACTGGTTGATTTATTTGTAGGGGCTGTCTAGTTTTCAGGAGAAAATTTCAGTTATTTTCATCATCTCTCGGATAAAAATGTAACTCTCTTACAATAACATCCGTCATTCACAATGTAAACTTCATCGCTTTCATTAGGCTGATCATTAATTTAGCTCTACTTACATAAGAATATCCAAACTTAGATAAAATTAAATTAAAACTACATATATTAACAAGATTGTAGTGAAAATGAACAGAAGTAGCTACACATTATATTATATTGCATAACACTTCCACTTTAAATAATTGAAAAGAAAAAGAATTTTTTTCAGCGACGACTAAAATCTGTTAAATAGCAATTTGTATAAATAAATTCGAATCAAAGAATATCCGTCAGCTGAATTATTTACTTGCATTGCTCAGATATATAGATACCCTCGGACTAATAATAACCGATAATCTTCACTGAGATTTGCATTTTTCTGAATAAAACAATGAATTACTCTCTTCGGGTTAATAATACTTGTCGTTTTTGACAAGGGCACGGTCTTAAAAAAACAATTTTGACCATTATTTTCCATTATAATATATATAAAAGTGTTAATAAATATATGATTTTATTAAAGTACTTTTTTAAGACTAACCTATACATGTAGTCATTATATTTGAAAGACAAATATTTTAAAAATAATTTATAATCAAAGATTATAAAGTTTGACCTCATCCTTATATAAAACGATAAGTATTATTAGCCTGGAGGAAAGTAATGGGAAACATATTTATTTGGAGCATTTTACTAGATAAAGCATTTTTTTAGTGTTAATTAACGAAATCTCCAGTTACATCTGGTGTGTGTAGATAGATGCACGAGTCCTACGACAGAGAAGTTATATATGGTTTCTATCAAACCATTCAAAGCAAGAAATTAAATCAACAAAAAGCAAACTGACCTCGAGGGGAAGCTTGTAGTTGATGGCCATGTGGGCGCGGAAGCTGGCCACCGTGCTGAAGAAGCGCATCCTGCGCAGCCGCCCGTTCTTCCCCGCGCGCGGCGGCGGGTTGGCGAAGAAGTAGCGGTGGCCGGCGTCCGACAGCACCGCGTACGGCGCCGGGTTGCTCAGCGACGACGTCACGTGGTAGATGGTCTGCGCCTGTTCCCCGGAGTGCGCCGCCATTGCCACCATCATCGCGTTCACCACCATGTCCCCCGGTATCTGCATGTCCCAGGCACAGTCAGTATACAGCGCCATTGCTAACCTCGATGGAGGTTAATCATTTCAGACTGTTGAATTAATTAATGTTGGTTGTCACTAAAGGGCTTAATATTTTGGTTTGCAATTTCGTTAATTTCGGGTATTTCGATCCAGCGACAGGAAGTTATTTGAGTCAAAAAATACATTTTTTTTGGATTAAGTAAAATTCATTTAAATTTAACCAAAATCTGTTCAATTTTTTTAACCATTTTTGCCCAAAATATCCAAAATTCCAAGATTTCGCTAATATCAGTACCCCAAAATTTTATGATTTCCTAGATATAGAACCTCTCTATGAACCCGTTTGGTTAATCCTTGTGAGAAAGGGATAGGTCGGATTTATTCCATGTCTACTGTGACGTGTAATTATATTCTCGCTTAATCCCCTCTAATCCCATACCAACCAATCAAGGCCTTAATTTATTTATTTCTAGATACTCCCTCCGTATTTTAATGTATGACGTCGTTGACTTTTTGACCAACGTTTGATCATTCATTTTATTCAAATTTTTTGTGCAAATATGAGAATATTTATGTCATGCTTAAAGAATATTTGATGATAAATCAAGTCATAATAAAATAAATGATAGTTACATAAATTTTTTGAATAAGACGAATGGTCAAATATTGGATAAAAAGTCAACGGCGTCATACATTAAAATATGGAGGGAGTAACAAATAATTTCCATTATGAGGTAATTTCCATAACATGTAGGAGTAATTTTTTAGAAGAAAGCCCAAAAGAACAACAAGGCCTTACTCACCACGTCCATTATGAGGTTGAGGTCGACGAGGAAGAAGGACAGTGTCTGCTTGGCGTAACCTATGATCACCGAGTCGATCGTCCTGCAAAAGATCGAGGCGAAAATGTTCAGTGATCCATTCGATCAGCTGGCCAAGAAAGAGCTAGCGACAAGTACTAGTTGATTTAGTTTTTGTATATGCGTCTCACTCACCTGATTCCTTCCATCCATCCGGGCAATGGCTCCTTGAGGATGCTGGTTATGATGCTCGGCCGGATGATCACCACCGGAAGGTCCCCGCGGAGGTGCCCCAGCAGCATCTCCCCCATTGCCTTGGTGAAAACGTAGGTGTTTGGCCATCCAAAATGCTTAGCCCTTCATTCAGTTGTGCATCCAAGTAAAAAAATGCAGTAACTTTGTCAGTTTTGAAGATACGCTGAGGTTTAGCCGTTAACTTTTTCTAATAAATTATACTTTACTGTAAAGAAAAAATTAAGGGATTTAGAAAAGATTAAGGAGCTTCTTAGGTGAACTAATATTTTGTTTGATTGATTGGCTCAAGATTGATTTGTGGCTGACCTCTTGAGCCCAAGCTCCTTCATTGTTCTCTTCTCAGTCTTCTCTGAACAACGGTTACTAGCTTTCATCTCTCTCCTGGTCTCCTTGATCAGGTTTAGCTCGGATGTGATATCCAAATGCCTGCCTTCCCTTAGTGCTTGACCCATCAAGAATGGTTTCTCTAGTATCAGTCCCTCTTGTTCTCCAGCGACATAGGCTGTTCAAGTCATTATATCATCAGAATTCACAATGAAGCACATATGCCAAATATATTAAGCAAGTGCTGTTTTTTACTACCAGTCGAAACATGAAGCAGCATCTTCAGTTTTGTACACTTCTTCGCAAATTCACAGATGTTCTTAGCTCCCAAGACATTCGAGTCAAAAGCCACATCATATCTGCAAAATCGTCAGACGCTGATAAATCATGTTGACCAATTTACACTATTAATCTCTGACCAGAAAAGTTCCCAAACCTTTCATAAAAATTTGTAGTCGCAGCACCATTGACGATGATGTCGATTTCGTTCGACAATTCTGTCAATTTGGCAGAATCTAGTCCCAAGTTCTCATAGATTATGTCCCCTGCCAAAGTACAGACCTTTTCTTCCACGAAACTTTCGAACCCATCACCATGCTTTTCTTTCAGAACTTGAAAGATCTCCTTCCCTGTCACCTGAAGAAATCAAATAGCATTTGGAGGGAAAGAACACCATAAAAGAATATAATAGCTTTTGTCAGAGCGTTACAAACTGTTCTATGTATGATCAGTTTAATACATCTATTATGAATACTTTCTTGGGACTTGGGAGAATGTATTTCTCAGAACGAATGCTACTAGTCCAATAGGACCACCAGGATTGAGAGAACCTCCAGATCTGGCACAGTGCAAGTTTCCATTCATTTATTTCTTTCGACTTGACAATAGCATTGGATGCATCTCAACTACTATTTGGGTACACCTCAACTACTATTTACCGTCTCTAGTTTGTGTTCCACTACTGTCCACTGTGCAAGTGTGTATTATTTCCGGTAAGCATTTTTGGTAATTTCCCATTGCTTCCGACATGTCAATGTCTTTATCTATTTGAAGTACCCCTGGTGCCCTGTAGTTTCCAAGGCAGAATTGCTCAATGGACAGTCCTGGAGTAAACTTCTTGTCACTTTGCAAATTATGTATACTTCTCTATAAACATAATTACTTCATTTGGTTAGTAACTGGTCTGACAAAAATTGTAGAGGTAGTTTTGATGAATGCGTGATGAGAGTAAATGGATTTCTAGATGTAGCTACCAAACAAATGCTCTATCATATTGAACAAATTTTAGCAAAAGCCCTTTGTTGTTTGATACTAAAAAATAACTTTTACAGCCACCTTTTTCTCCTGTTTATGCCATGGTGGTTTCAGACGTCATGTAATATTTGAACTAGATACTCGGTAACAATTAGATATGCTCTAAGGACTGCAGTCTAACTTGTGAAGAAAATCATAGATGTTTTTGTGAGCTTTCTTTCAATATGTCAACATTTGGCGCCCATGCATGGAAACACATTGTGATGGTTAGTCAGCCATTTCAGACTGTACAAAAACCTACAAGCTACAACAGGGGTGGCGAAAAAACAGCCAGAAGAACTACCCCACCTCGTCCTGAACCCGGCGCGTCGCGGATTCGACGTCGTTTGCCCGGACCAGGAGGTAGAGCTTCTTGACATCTGGCTGAACCCTGAGTATCTTCTCCACAAGCACTGCACAATGAGCACAGAACCAAAACACCGAACAGTTAAACACCAATCAAACAAGCTGCACTGTCTGCAGGGGTACAGAATTCACTGATCAACAATCAATCACCTTTGCCAAGGAACCCGGTTGAACCGGTGATCAGGATGCTCCTGCCCCTGAAGAACGCTACAACATTTCCAGAATCCATCTGGCTGATCATCACTGGTGCCGGTGTGCTTTGTGTGTGTGCCTCAAGAGCGCCTGAGAATTATGCGCTGTGGTAAAAGTAAAAAGAGTACTTGGTGGGTGTTAGGTAGTCAAGTGTGGTGGCATCACCTGTTGCCGTCCACAGGAGTTTGGCCATGTATTTATAAGAAGGGAGCAGGGCAAGTGAGGTAGATGTTCCAGTGACGACCAGCTTTGCTTTAGAAGCTAAAGAACTCCATGATTAATTGTTGCTGCATTTCCCTGCAAGCCTTCTGATTGTTTTCGTCAGCAATAATGGTGTGGACGATTTTTATTTGCGGATGATTTTTATTGTTGTGGAAATTAACTTGCTATGTTGTTGGAAATTTTATGTCAGAAGAGTAGGGATTCAAACTTTCTTTTGGGGGTTTATTTTCAACCACGTACGTCACTGATTTGGCAATATAAGACCCGGAACATTGTTCTCCACATGATTTTTTTTTCTTTTAAAGCGAACATAATTGTTGAGTTGGTCAGTTGTAGCTGGCTTAATTTTGAATAGGGAAAGTAGGGGAAATATGGTCTAAATCGCACACAAGAGCTGTAGAAGGTATGGTAGGTAAGCGAACAATTGTGCATATAATAGACCTCGGGTAATACTAGAGCACCGACATCTTTGTTTTTCTATTTTCGAGGAAATATATTTTATTGTTGTTGCTTGTTGGCAGGTTTCTGCGTGCCGTTTTATTCATGGACATAAATTGGTAGAGTTTTTCTTGTAACTAGCTCCTTACATGTAGCTATGCTGATGGTGACCAATCAAGAACAATAGTCATTAATAACTCACATTAACCACTTGGTGGAATGTTTGGCTTATGAGAAATAGGAGAATTTTTCAAAGCATTTCTTGTACAACAGTTGAGGTAGCTTATCTTGTTAAGTAGATCTAAACCTGCGTAGGACGGCTTTTAGACCTAGATTCTCCTTTTGGACTTCGGATCTTTGTTCCTTCGCTGGGATTGTAATTTTTTTTCTCCGTTCAATTAAATTCCGGCAGCTCTCCTGTCGTCATTCTCCTAAAAAAAACACACATTTGCATAAGCTACTTATACTGCATGCATTTCCATTGTTAATATTTACTCCCTTCGTTTCATAATTCTTCTTGACGTTTTGGATAAAATTATAGTTAAACTATCGAGTCACCAGAAAAAGATATCTACACGAGTCAAGTTATTTCTTGTAACTGTAAAAGTTTATGGGTGCAGCTAATTGTCTCGTGCGCGCCAGGTGGCAGGCTGACAGCCCCTCCCCGACCTTGTGACTTTTTGTCGCTTTCTTTTTTTTCACGATTTTTTTCCTTTTTACGTTTTTTCTGATTATTTTTTTTAATCTTCAGCACACGTGTTTTTAAATATTTTGTGTTGAAAGTTTTTAAATCTTGACTTAAAATTTTTCAAATATCATCTTAAAAAATTCAAATCTAGACTTGAAAGTTTTCAAATCTCGAGTTGAAAGTTTTCAAACTTGAGTTGAAAGTTTTCAAATCTCAAGTTGAAAGTTTTCAAATCTGAGTTGAAAGTTTTAAATCCGGGTTGAAAGTTTTCAAGTGCGTGTTGAAAGTTTTTCAAATTTGAGAAGAAAAGTTGAAAGTTTTTAAATTTTGACTTCAAAAAAATTTAAATTTCAAGTTGAAAGTTTCAAATCTAGGTTTAAAGTTTTCAAAATTTGACTTCAGGTATAGATTTCTTTTCGATCTAAAAAAAATTCACGGAATAAAGAAAATCTTATCTATTAAATACTAAGACTAATTGGTTAGTCTAACTACTTTCGTCCGGAAAAATATGCGCAGTTGGCGCGCATGCGCTGCCTAGTTTTCCGAAAGTTTATCGAACAGCCAAAATGTGTACAAAGAGATGGAAAAAAGCGTGCAAAAAAAACCAAAGCGACCATATATGGAATTAGATTGGGCCGGTATATCGGTTAACTATAATGCAAAAATAGTTTCAAACATAACATATTTTATTGTATTTATATCATGCAATAATAATTCATGGAAAATATTTACAACCATCATTAATATTATCAGTTTATTTAAAACTGGTACTGAAAATAATATCACTATTAATGATACTACTGGTTTGAGAGAAAACCTGCGATGTCTTTTTGTTTCTGAACCAACCGTTAAACCTGTTGAGTCAGCCAACATGGTCCTCGTGCACGCGTTAATTAAGTTCCACGTTCATTATCCCCACTGATATGCTCACAGTTTTGGTTACGCTTACAGTTATGATGTGATCAGGGGGTGACCCAATATTTCGGTGAGCTGAACATATTTATAATTTAGGAGAAACATTAATGACTCAACTACAGTCATGCGAGACATTGTGTTGTTGTATTAGCGATCGATACACTCCGTTAGTTGTTAATCTTATCGATACAAATTAACCTTTTTCCTATAAGTAAATTAAGAAACAAGAAAAACAAGATTAAAAAAATCTAATATTATAAATAGGAATTTAATATAAATTAACTGAGGAGAATACGTCAATGTAATCAATCACAGTTTACCTTAAAAAATAGCAATAGCTAAATTTTAATATAAACAAAACTCAAAAAATTCTAAAGAGTACCTAACTATTTTATGGAGTTGGTAAGAGTCTTTGTAATTGCCACTGACTCATATAATTTAGAGGTAAGATCAGACCCATTGGAAAAAGGTACTCCGTGATGTTTCCATCACATACTCATGGGTTTAGACTTTAGAATAGAGCTCTTATGTAAATTTGGTTACCTTTTGAAGTCAATGCTATCTCGGGAGACATAACATTCCAGAACTTAGGCAACAACTCTGTATCTTCTGGCTAGTAAATAATGTGATGGATAGTTATATTGATGATAGTGACATCGTCTACCCAATTTCACTCCTCTTTTACCCTCCCCATCCTGCACCTCCTCTCTTATTTGTGGAGACAGTTTTATCAATCCTTACGACACGGCCGATCTTCCCAAACAGTGTGACATATTAATCATTCAACTTAAAAAAGCTAAGGATGAATATGTGAAACATAAAAAACTTACTAAAACTAAGCAAAGGATGAATATGTGAACATAAAAACTTACTGATAGCGCACATTCGTGCTCCAGTCTTTATTCTATTCAGAATAAGGGTTTGTCTTATTTTCCATGTGTTTACTTGTTTAGTATTGAGCACGCGCCTTGATAGAGAACTACTAAGATGCAAACCATTTCTATTATCCATAACAAAAAGGAAAATATACTAATTATCCCCTGAATTATCACGGTCAACCGAATTACCCCTGAACCCAAAAACCAAACATTACTCACCCTGAACTTTTAATACCGGATGAATTACCCCCCCTCAACACTGTTTCGAGCGGTTTTGACTTGAGTTTGCACACATGATGTCTATGTGGCAATCCAGTCAGCAAATAAAAATAAAAATGCCTTCCTTGGGCCCACCTGTCATACTTCTCTCTCCCCGGTCGCGCTCTCTCTCTCCCGTGTGCACGCTCAGGCACGCGGCTCCGCAGGCAGGCAATGGTGGCCGACACAGGAGGCGTGGAGCACGGCGGTGAGCACCAGCGGCCGCGGGAACCTGTACCGGGCGAGGAGCATCTCCGACAGGTAGCCGGCGCCGACGCGGCCGGCGTAGTTCCAGATGCTGATGAGCGATACGAACGTGTTCACGCTCCTCGCAGGGTACCCCAGCAACTGGCCGATTTGTGCCATGTTGTCGATCGCCCTCAGCGTCCCGCCGATGACGAACACCGACACCACGAACAGCACCACCATCTCCACGCTCACCAGCGCCTGCATGATGCTGTAGTCCTCCCCCAACTCCGGCAGCCTGAACATCCTTCCGATGCCGCACCCGCCGCACGCCGCCGCCGCTGTGGCGTCACCGCCGTCGGCTTCTTTCGTGGGGTGCTCAACGGCGATGGACGGCGGCTGCTGGAGAGCGCGCTCGAGGTGGGACACGTTCTTGTGCTCCTCCTTGACGACGACGGCGAGCGGGAGGAAGAGGATGAAGAGGAGTGCGGCGGCGCCGACGACATAGTAGCAATCACGCAACCATGCTTTGTTTAAGAGCAGGTGCAATAGTATGCTATAAGCCAGTTACAAACATATTTTAAAGAAATAAATAAGGAGAGAAAAGAGCAGCGTGCTATAAATTTGTAGCCAGCTGTAGCACGGATTTTAAGACGCAGTGTGTGTATGACAGGTGGGACCAGATATTAATAGTGTAGTATATAACTATTGTATGAATAAGTTATTAGATTAGCTATAAATAAATTAAAGCTAGCAGTTAGCTATACTATTGAACTTACTCTAATAACAACCGAATCTGTGTCCGCTCTAACTGAAACTACCGTGAAATCTCTCATAATTAATGACTAGATCTTGTCCCATTTAAGTTGGACCACGTTGTACGTACTAGCAGCCTCTCACAACTATACTCACATTCTCGAATGCTTGTCCCATTTTAGGTGCCCATACTGCACATTAAATTTTTCCTCTTAATGGTTGCAAAAATACTTAAGTAGCGCAAACTCTGTTCTGTGAAGCTCTGTTTTCTCGCGCAGCTCACACGGTATGGCTACACCTACACCGTATGCCCAAGGCAGAGTGCTTAAAATGTAAGGAGTTATCTACTCAAGAAAATTAATTTTGATAACAGGAGAAACAAATATTTGCATGCATTTAAATATACTTGTATTATTTTCAAGTGGATGTTTTCTATACCATATACTACTCTTTTTATGTGTTTTACAATGCAGGGGCCTAGGTCTGGGTACGCATACTCGGGATCATGCGCTCGTCTCCTACGCGATGCAGGGGCCCATGTCTGGATATACGTACTCGGGAACATACTATTTACACCCAAATTTAACACCTATGAATAAAATAGGGGAAAATTGCTAAAGTTTAGAAAGTGACGGGTTTCTTTCAAGTGGGCCGGTTTGACCGCCGTGTGCTGGGTGGTCAGACCGCCGGTTTAGGGCCGGTCAGACCGGCAGTGTGTGGCCGGTCTGACCGGCAGGTCCGAGTCCGATTGTGTTTCGTCAGGTCTTAAGGTTTCCTTGCTCGGGAAGGCATGTTTCGGGTTTCCTTTGGTTTCTACCCTGAGTTGGACGTGGAGGAGGGCCTGTAGAGG